CTGCTGCTGGAGCAGTGTCTGCCCATGGCAAGTCTCGGCCTGCTGTAGGCAGAGATTGCTTCTCAGCAGTTTCCCCTATACCTCTCACACACTAGCTCCTGTTCCCCATCTTTGCTACCCCTCATAGAGGCAAGGGAGGGGGCGGGGCAGCGACTAGTTGATACTCCACTCGGCTACACAAGCTTATGCTTACAGCGAACATCCCTAATTTGGGGGATTTTGTACAGTGACTGTACTGTGAAACAAATTCTTGCAGGGAAAACCTATAGGCTCCCTTCAAGAAGAAAACTGACTAAAGCTCTCCTCAAATATAAAGAAGGAAGTCAGAGCAAAGGCAGCAGGAACTATTATCAAGTAAACCACAAACAGATTTGTTTTTCTAGATCAGTGTTTCTCAAACTGTGCTCCATGGAGCCCCTGGGGCTCTGTGAGACATCTCCAGGGGCTCCGTGAGGTTGACAAACTGGAAAGCCTTCAAAAGCATAATTGAGAATCGCCTTGAACTGACGCAATTAACACACATTGCTAGGGCTCCGCATAAATGTTTACGCATGTAAAGGGCTCCAGAGCACAAAAAGTTTGACAACCGCTGTTCTAGATCTTAGTATGATGTGGTCTTACTTTGGGAAAACACAAGTTCTCAAAGGGTACATCTACATTTGCTTCCTAGTTCGGACTAGGGATGCAAATACAGACGAACGAAGTAGCTAATGAAGCCGGGATTTAAATATCCCGCACTCCATTAGCATGATCTCGCCGGCGCGCTAGTTCAAATCACAGTTGATTCGAACCAGGAAGTGTGCGCCAGAACACATTAGTTCGAACCAAAGCTCTTGGTTCGAACAAATGTTACTCATTTTTTGAAGAGTACCGTTAGTTCAAACCAAGGGTTTTGGTTAGAACTAACGCATCCCGGAGCGCACTTCTTGGTTCGAATCAGCTGTGATTCAAACTAGCGTGCCAGCGAGATCATGCTCACAGAGCGCGGGATATTTAAATCCCGGCTTCATTAGCTACTTCGTTCATCTGCATTTGCATCCCTAGTCCGCAAATGTAGACGTACCCTAAGGTACCACAATCAGTGTTCAAATACTACGTTACAAGGCATATGTGCAATCAAAAAACCAACTAGTGCACATCTTGTGTGACTTTCCCATACCAACACCTTATGTCAGCAGAGACCTTTGAGTGTGTCATTCTTGACAGAGGTACAAGGTTTGGACAAAGCAGAAACTATCAATACCTGTCTGAACTATGAGGATACAGGGAAAATACTGAACCTCCAAAGTCCTTCTCATGCTTGACATACATGTAAAGGAATCAAAAATATTACCAGAAAGAAGATTCTCCACTGCATTGACCCTGCCCAGTACAAAATCATTAACTCCACAAACATCTCGAATGTCACAATTAAGAAGCCACTGTCTCAAAGGATAAGTTCACTACACAACATACACAAAAAAACTGCCAGAATACAAATAACTGCTCAAAGAATTCCATCATCACATGGCATAATGAAGCTGCTATCTTACACAGTTCAGTGTAGTTTCTCTATATTTCCCAAGAGGAGGCTGAGGCCATCAATGCCACAGAGAGACATGGGATACTGTACTCCTGATTTTTGCTTCAGAGACGGATGTTCTAGTACTCTCTTTGGGAAGCTACCCAAAAATTTTTCAAGACTCTTTTTTTGTACCTATTGCCAAGCCATAGAATTACAGAACAAATACAAACAAATCCACTTTCTCTGCCTCTGTTGACTAAGGGTGGCAGCCTGATGCCCCTGACACACCCATTCAATAGCCACTATAATAACTAGTGATCCTGAAGGTGGATGTGAGAATGTTCTTATGTTATGTTCTAAAAATCATCAAACCCTTGGAGAGCACATAGTAATTGTGCTCTGAATGCTTCGATGTGAGACGCGATGAAGAGGGGCTCTGTTTTTTCTGTGATTTTATAGATTATCATCATTTTAGTGACTGGCAATGCCATACTAGATGGACCTGCCATTGGTAGAATATCAATCAGACAACGAGAAGACACCTTGACATCCTGGACCTGAATGCGTAAGTCTGAAGTCATCTTCATTAACAATTTCTGATGAAACCTTATAATCATCATCAGCTATTAGGTTTTCT